TGCAACCTGACGGCAATTTCTGCCATTAAAACTATTTTTATGTAAAAGAATGGAACGAAGATCATCCGATGTCATTGTTGGGCTGCCTAATGCCAGAGCCTCCGCAATAGCCTGATATGAAACCATGGTCAGAGAACCGCATCCTGGTATCAAACGAACACCCTCAGGAATTGGGCAGACATTATTAGATTTTCCAAAGTCCATTTTAGTACCAATTGTGGCAGGTCTTGAATCTTCGGTTGACTTACTTGTGAACAGACAACATTGTTGTCAACACTGATACAACAAGAAGCTTCACTCAGGGGATGGTTCTAGACAAGGAAACCATGGTGTCTTTCAAGTGAAGCGCTTGTTGCACCAGACAGGTCTTTCCCTTGTAGACAATGAAGATGTTCTGCTATAAGCAAAACAGAGTGAAAAGCACATTCTTTTGGGTGAACATCTCTCCTCTGAACATGGGAAGGTTGCTGTCCCCGTAGCCGGTGAAGCACAATCAATGTCACCAAACACTTTCAAAAACCCCTGGGGGCAGAGACTAGGCTGTCGGGAAGGGCTCAGGATGGGGGGCATTTTCCCAGCAGCAGCGCACTTCCCAACCTCCGGAGAACAAATACACATTTGCCAGTTTTTTGCTTTCACCTGAGAACAAGAAGCAAATGGGAGAGAGAAGAAGAGATTGGATTTATACCCCGCCCTTCACTTGGAGTCTCAGAGCGGCTTACAAACTCCTTTCCCTTCCCCTCCCCACAACAGACACCCCCTGTGAGGTGGGTGGGGCTGAGAGAACTCTTGACAGAAACTGCTCTTTTTCAAGGACAGCTGTGCCAGAGCTTGTGACTGACCCAAGGTCACATCAGCAGGTGCAAGTGGAGGAGTGGGGAATCAAACCCGGTTCTCCCAGATTAGAGTCCGCACACTTAACCACTACACCAAACTGGCCTTCTATGACACTTCTATCAGACAGTCTAACTGGAATACGTAACGCCCTGTTAGAGAGCTAGCTGCAATTTCATATCCATTGCACTGTCATTTCATTTAGGCAATATTATGCTTCTGTTATTATGCTCTTTTATCAATATTAGCTTCCAGCGTGCAACAGGTATGTCGAATTAAAAAAAACCCACCAAACATTCTGGGCCCAGTTTCTGCCCCTAAATGTTTGAGATCTTTTGACAAATGACTTTGTATGAACTAGATCTTAAAATGACCAGCACTATAAAATGAGCTACACCTTGCTAAGGATTTATGTTGTTCTATTTCAGGGGCCGCCCACCTTTAAAGCCTGAAGACACCTTTGGGATCCTGACACAGCATGGTAGCCCTGCCACAAAATGGCTGCCGTGGGAGGTGGAGCCAGCCACTAGCTTACCTTTAGTCACAGAGTTAAGATCCTTGTCTTGTGGTGGCAGCTGCTGCTGAAGCAATGTCTTTTTGAATAGGCACAGCCAATCAGATCCCCAATGGCCAATCAGAAGCCTTGCTGGGCAAAAGCCCCATCTGGCCCCTCCCACTTTCGAAAAACACTTTGGTGGGCTCCAGAAAAGGTGTTGGCAGACAACAGGGCCCCCACGGGCACCATGGTAGAGACTCCTGTTCTATTTGTTTTCTCCAACAGTGTCAAAACTGGTGTCGATTTTGTAACCATCTGATCAGAGATCTGTTTACCTGCAACTCCTGTAAACTTTCCCAACAAATTCAACCCCCCCCCGGCCAAGAATTCACAAACTTAAATGATTAAAGCCAATGAGTACCTGCTCAGAATAGATAAAGGTTTCCCTTGCTCGACAGCTAGTCGAATCCGATTCTAGGGGGCGGTGCTCATCTCCGTTTCCCAGCTGAAGAGCCAGCGCTGTCCGAAGATGTTTCCATGGTCATGTGGCCGGCATGATTAAACGCTGAGGTGCACGGAACGCTGTTACCTTCCCACTGAAGTCGTACCTATTTATCTACTTGTAATGTCTTGCTTTCGAACTGCTAGGTTGGCAGGAGCTGGGGCCGGAGACGGAAACTCACTCCTTTACGTGGCTCTAGGGTCTCGAACTGCTGAACTACAGACCTTCCGGTCTGCAGCTCAGTGTATTAACCTCTGAGCCACCGTGGCCCTTGTTCAGAATACAGAGTCTATTTAAAAAGTCATTTTGACTGGACTATATTAACTGGATAGGGGAAAGTGAGGTAAGAACTTCTAAGGAAAAAATGGTGAGGATTTTCAAAAGGGAGATTTTTCAAGCTTACGACATTTACTGAAACTACAAACGTAAGAAAACCATTTGCTTGACTGGCACAGAGGGTCACGGGTTAGTGGTTAGAGAGTTAGGTTTGCCATGTTTGTCTTTGTTTTCAATGTACACACCTATTATATTAAAAAAACACCCCATCCTATTCTGTGCCCTTTCCGACCTGTCCTTTAACTGCATGGTCAGCACTGATTGAGGACTGCCTAAATTCAAAATGTGGAAGTCCCTTGAAAACACAGTTTCAGATCCTGGTTTAACAAGATCCCTTGTTAACTTTTAAACCACAGTCCCAAAGAACTGCTTAACCATGCATAAGCAAGGAGGGAAGAATTTGCTCCAGGGAAATATGAGACTGTGGGGAGGAAGGATGCATGACTTCCTGGGTTTGGACCTCCAGTTCTTAACCCTGGCCAGACAAGGAACCAGCCCTCTACCAGCACTGGCTTGATGACAGTCCAACAGTTGAAACTGAACCAGCCAGTTAGGACGCAATCCCCATTTCTTTGGCTCCCACGAAAGATATAATATTTGGTATTAAAGACCCTAAGGCTTTTGGTTGAGGGAGCGGGCGCCCACATACGGCCTCCCCAAGGTTGCTGTCTCCTACCTATTGGCCACCCATCTGCCAGCAACCGGCCATAACAATCAGTAGTAATGGGTCAGAATTTGCACCAGCAGCTATAACTACTGATTTAAAATCTTTATAAATGTAAATGTTTTATTGTGTTGTAAACCTTATTGTAGCATTTGAGATGATGTGACCCGCCCTGAGCTAGCTCACGGGATGGGCAGGATACAAATACGAAAAATAAATAAAGAAAGAAACAAACCCAGTCCAAGCCCTCTCGATTTTAAAGGGAGAATGTTAAGCATCTGTCAGTGAAATCAATGGGGACTAGACAAGGGGGCGTCTGCCCACCACAGCTGGTTTCAGTGGGAGAGGTAAAGGCATACACAGATGGAGTACTTGACACAGAGAGTACTCCAAGGTAATTGCATACACAGTTCTCTCCAATAAAAATCAAGGAGGCTCAACGAAGGGATGGGATCACATTTGTTTCCAACACTTATATAGTTTCGTCGAAGGCTTTCACAGCCGGAGTTCATTAGTTGCGGCAGATTTTCCGGGAGCTGTTATATAGTTTGTCCTCAAGGACGTGTGTGGCCAAGCTGCTAAGGTATGCCACCAAAGCTTTCGTAAACAAACTGCATTTGTGTGTGGTTAAGAACAGATGTCTTGTTAAATAAGCTACTGACTGTCATATGCATCAAATAAGGTCTGGTTTTAAATGTGTCATTAGCGACGTGAAAGCACGCACACTTTGTGGTCACAACGTGGCTCTTTTGAATGGACTGCTACATAGGAGGCCCCACCACCACTGTGGTTAAAGCACGCCTTGGAGCATAGGAAAGTGACGCCTTTGCGGAAGGGGATGCCGTATCAAGCAAAAAATAAAAAGTGACACTTTTTGTTCCACTGCAAAGTGAAACCAAACAATTTATTTGTGTTAAATGGAAAGAATGTATCTCAGAATACATTTCTTTATACATTGTACCGGCTTACGCTGCTAAATATGCATTTGCTATTGTCACTTAAACTTCCTCTGTAAATCTGTTCTTTTTTTTTTCCTACCAAGCAATACAACATTGTTCAGCTGTTATACCAATAGGCTGCTATAAATGTGCACTTTCAATCATATTTTCTTTCTGATTCTTCTTTGAACGCATACAATAGTTGCTCAGACTTCCAGAGTGGAAGGGGCAAGAAGTGTCACACAATTAATATATTTTAAACATTGGGGGGGGGGAGATCAGTCTGGTCTGTTCTTTTTTTAATGCAAATCACTTTTTTTAATGGCAGAAATCAGAACACACTTGAATCAGCCACAAGGATCTTGTTGGCAGCACCACATTTCACAGAAGATCGTCGTGACGGGGGAAACAACAGTACAGACAGGTGTTTTTTTTTTACAGATCAACATGAGAGAGAAATGAAAACAATCAACTCTTAAGGTTCATGGATCGATACATTCTATATACTTCGACGAGTCGGGCTTCCCACATTAAACTTCAGACTGTACCACACACTGGAGAAAAAGGTATTCAAAGTTTTTAACAATGTTATCTGAAAAGTAAGGGGATGCCATTGAGAAAAATTGAGCTTGGGCACCGAGCTGTCCGACTTTCAACTTTTGCACTAAAAAGCTGCACTTTTGTCGTTTACTGAAATGTAGCGCTTAATATACCGTATATGCTCAACACGTAGCTGTACTGTCTTGGGAGTTCATAATAGACAGCCGATGCCCGTAAATTTATATGTAAATTGTCATGAAAAAATATAAAAAGCTGTCCCTTTTATCTTACAAACCTAGAAGCCCAGGAAAGGGGGGGGGGAATAAAGCTTTGGGAGCTCAGCAGAACAAAATGCCGTAAATATCAAACAGAGGAGCAAACATTCCAGCCAAGAGAAAGGACATACACGCAAGTTCAAGTAAAACACTGATGGAATCTTTGTTGTTGTTGTTTTAAATTAGTGTTGTTGATCCACAACACTGGCTGCAGGTGAGGACCGCTTCAAAATACGACACGCTTCTTGCACGGAAGACACTTCTGGGTAACACTAATCACAGACCGCTCCAGCGTAAGCGGCCACATTTTTTCCATCCTCCACGTGTAAGTTTCACGCTACCGCCTACGCCAAAGTGCTTTCCATGTATGAACCGTGCTACTGTTTTGAAGGAGCCCGTGGACAAAAAAAAACCCCTCCCCAAAACATGTACAACACAATTAAACAGTGAAGCCTCGAGAAACTTCAGTGCAAATAAGTAAAATCCGAATATGCCGCTGTAAGCCTTTGGCTTGTAGTAAACTGCTCGGTGTCATGAGTCCGACTCTGAAGACAGATTTGCTGAGCGCGTGCACTAAGGCTGAGATGAAGGATGCATTGAGTGTGGAAAAGAGGCCGACTGGGAGGTTGATGACTGGACCGGCAGCTGCACGGGGGGCGGCGGAGGGGGCGGAGCAGGCTGCAGCGGGGTCTGCGTGTTTGGAGAAGGAGGAGGAGTGGGGCGTTTGAATTTGTCAGGGCTGTTGCTTCTTCGTGGTGAAGGCCTCTGTGGAACCGAACATACAAAAAAGAAGGGGTTGAATCGGCTGGTTCTTCAAACCGCCCCAACACGTTCCCATAGCAAGCCAATGAAAACATCAGTTCCGATGCAAATTAAATCCAGACAATAAAATGCAAAGGAGGTTGTTTATGGGCCCAATTAGTTGCCAAGCTCTTTCAAGGGGCCCACACTAGCTTTCAATACCCTCATGACCTTTGTCCACTTTGAGCTACAATGCAAAGCTGCTGTTCTCTGACATATCCCACCCTATACGGATTGAGCAAAGCGGACTCACACAACTGGAGTAGAACGGGCAGGAGCAGCTGAAATGTATGTGTCTTAGAGAATATATACCTTGAAGTACCGTAGTTCCTGGAGCGCACATAACAGGCCAGCTGCGGCACATCAGAACTGATATCCGATAAATGGATGGCCCCATAAACTCTGTGTGTTTTATGAAAAACATTACTGGGGCTCTTTCTGTAGCAGGAACTCCTTTGCATATTAGGCTACACACCCCTAATGTAGCCAATCCTCCAAGAGCTTACAGAGCTCTTCTTACAGGAGCTACTGTAAGCTCTTGGAGGATTGGCTACATTAGGGTGTGTGTCGCTTAATATGCAAATGAGTACCTGCTACAAAAAAGAGCCCTGCTGGAAATATAGATTCAGAAGATTGCCATGAATCACAGCTAGTGGACATCGGGTGCGCAACCAGACTTGCTTAAAATGTAATCAAGCGGATCTTCTGGTCTTTCTGATACACGAGGAGTCAGGAATGATTTCACCAACTCATGTTAAAAAAAATAAATACCCGAGCCCACAACACAACAAAGAACACACATGCTCCCTTTTGGAGTCCAACAGCAAAAGAAGAAAAGAAGATAGGTCTATCAGTGTCTACTAGCTGTGGTGACTAATGGGAATCTCCACCTTTAGAGGCAGTCTACCTCTGAATCCCAGAGCCAGGAGGCAACGTCAGGAGAAGGCCTCGGCCTCTATGCCCTGTGGATGGCTGTCCAGAGGAACTGGCTGGCCGCTGTGTGAGACAGGACGCTGGACTAGACAGACCACTGGTCTGATCCAGCAGGGCTCTTATGTACAGTCCCTAATACTGGTTACCTGCCAGAATGCAGTTTTATTACAAGAATAATGAAATGTAATAAAACTACTGAGGCTGGCAACCCTCACATGGAAGTTTTGTGGTTTCTAACCAGCGAAGGTAGAAAACGAGGAGGTCACTAGGCATGAATCATAGTATTGTGCGGAATCTAACAGAACTACCTGTCAGATCATAACAGCTACGGATAAAACCGAGGCCTCCGTTTCCCAGAATGAGGGGGAGTGGAGTCTTCGGAGTGTTTAAACTGCGTCATAACTCTGGCCCTCAACAGACAAGCCTACGTCCTGCTCCCTTCTGGTAGGACTCCTAGTCTGGGCCTTTCGCTCCTTCCAGGAGCAGCTGTTAACCCATGTTAACCTGGCAGCCAGGCCCTCACGGTGCAGCAAGAGGTCTGGTTTTATGGAGTCTGAAAGTCCGCATGCTTTCTGAGTCAATATATTGTCGAAGGCTTTCATGGCCTTCTGTAAGGAGTGGGGGAAACTAAAAAAAGGGGGGGGAGTGTCTACTAACCCACCAAGAAAATCAAAATGGTGTGTTCCAGCACATTCCTACTTTTAAAGTGTCTTCAGCCCGTTAATTGGCTTTTGATCTATTCTGAGCCAGCCGCTGACTCGCATAAGCCACAGGAGTGGCCCAAACATTCATTAGTTGCTGTAGATTTTCCGGGTTGTGTGGCCGTGGTCTTGGCATTGTCCTCTTTATTTTTAAACTCTCCTCTTTCCCGTTGGAATTGTATTTATGTTGATGAATTTCAATGGCTTCCCTGTGTAATCTGACATGGTAATTGGAATTCCAGTTTAAAAATAAATAGGGCATGGTTTCCTGTCCTGGAAAACACAAAAGGCTCTACATCTGACAACAGCACTACAGATGAGATTAGAATTTCAACAGCCAATCCATGTACAAAAGAACCTCCTCAGGAAACAGGAAACCTCCTCAGGAAACAATCCATATACAAATGAACCTCCTCAGGAAAGCTCCTCCATTAGCATGTTCACAGCCTGGGGAACTCCTACAAGATAATGACTCAGCCTTACCCCAACTTCCTGAGTAGATATAAATTACCTGCCTACCGTTTTCTTCTCACCTTGACACAGAGAGTACTCCATCTTTCTGTGTTATACCTCTGAGGATGCCAGTCACAGCTACTGGCGAAACGTCAGGTCCTACAATGCCAAGACCACGGCCACACAACCTGGAAAATCTACAGCAACTAACTTGCCGAGTCACTTTGAGCTTTTAAAGTTGTCATTAGGGAAGCACTTCATAAAACAGAATGAATAAATAAATATAGACAGGAACACACAGTCATGACGAGAAGGTAACCACTGCAATCCCAGCACTGGCAACTACCCAGGACAGAGGAGGAGGAGGAGGAGATTGGATTTATACCCCGGCCCTTCACTCAGAGCAGCTTACAATCTCCTTCCCTTCCCCTCCCCACAACAGACACCCTGTGAGGTAGGTGGGGCTGAGAGAGCTCTGAGAGAACTGTCCTTGGAAGAACAGCTCTGACAGAACTGTGGCTTGCCCAAGGTCATCCAGCAGCTGCAAGTGGAGGAGTGGGGAATCAAACCCGGTTCTCCCAGATTAGGGTCCGCACACTTAACCACTACACCAAACTTGCTGATCTGCGAGTGTGGAAGGAGGATGCCTGTCCCAAGGTGGGACCGACCTGCTCCCTACTCTGAGTGCCTAGTATCTGTTCAATTCAATTCTTATGTATTCAATTAAATGCCTTTCCCACTGACCACAGTGGCTCAAGGCGGTAAAGGAAGGTTTCAGCAGCAAGCAACAAGAGAATTAAAACCATAAGCAATCCAGAGAGACATAAAAAATGCGGTGCTCGTGCTGCACTCAGCAAAGCAAACTGTTTATTGATGTCTATCAGCTGTGGAATAAAATGTCCGTGATGGAAGCAGCAGAAAGGGAGAAGCAGGGAATGCATGGGACTCTGACATTTGCAATGAAGACGAAGACAGAACTTCCACATTTTACAGGACCCGGTTTTTCGTGACGCGTTCTTCTGAAATACTCACTGTAATGCCATGGGATGGTCCCATGTGCTGCACATGAAGGCCTGGGTTGTTATAATAAGACACGCCGGCTCTGGTGAGTGAAGTTGGGGGAGTAAAACCAACTGTGTGGCTTGCATATGAGAGACCTAGAACAATGCAATTGACGCGTTAAAAACACACCTACGCACCCAAACCTCCAGCCAGTGTATTAGAAACGAGTGATCAACAGTCACTACCTTCTAAAATGTTTTTCTACGCTAGACAAATAAACCGTGTTGGAAAATCCGTTTGCACAAAAATGATGCGTGGCCCTGACAAAGTCAGGTGACGCCAATTCTTTTGATTTCTGGCCTGCTCTACGCCAAAAGTGTGGTGGGAAACATCAAGAGTAGTGTTGCACAGAGGTGGGTACGGAATGTTACTAGAATGTCCTCTATCTCTTTATTAAAACAGTTTCATATTTCCGCCCAGTACCCAAGCTATGGTACAAAGATTTAATGCAGTTAAATGCTTTACAGTGTAATGTGCCATGCAATGTGATTTATCCAACATATTATAACTTTGTAAACACAATCGGAAAATGTTTGTGTTGTTACTGTTATAATTGTACCAATTAATAAAAAATAAATAATAATAAAAAAGGAGGCTCCAAGCCAAAAAAAGAAGAAGAAAGAAAGTGGCAGGCAGGCTTGCCAGTAAGCTGATTGGTGCAAGAGAGCTCTTTCGTCTTCCACCACTGACACCTTCCGTCTAAGTGGCTCACGGCCACTCAGGGCAGCCACAATCAGTAAGGAGTGGGGAAAACTTAAAAAAAAGGGGGGGGGGAGTGTCTACTAACCCACCAAGTAAATCAAAATGGTGTGTTCCAGCACATTCCTACTTTTAAAGTGTCTTCAGCCCGTTAATTGGCTTTTGATCTATTCTGAGCCAGCCGCTGGCTCGCATAAGCCGCGGGAGCGGCCCAAACACAGCCAAACGAGACAACAGGTGCCTCAGCAAAGCATTACAACCGTGGCCCAGTTATGCAATAATGTTTTCCTGTAATTAATAAGGACACCTTTTCCTTCTTGAATACTCAGAAGGGGCCCAGGATTTGTGATGCACGTTCCAGATCTCCACACTGCTTTATTCCACCTCTCAGCCCTCTTGGCTTCTGAGGTCGCTTAAGACGAGAACGACTGAAACATTTTGGAACAACAGTAACAACACATTGACAGGAAGGCCAACAGCTCTGCAGAATAACAGTTAACTCCTGTGATTCAAGCAGCTGGAGGGAAGCAAACAACCCCCTCCCCAGGGCTATTTTTGGGCAGGAACGCACAGGAACGGAGTTCCGGCTGGCTCCCGAGTTGGCCACGCCCAGCAGGAACTCATTAGCATAATAGGCCACACCCAACAGCAGAAACGCATTAGGATTGGCTACATTAGGGGTGTGTGGCCTAACATCCTGCTACAAAAAAAGGCCCTGGGTTTTGACAACAAACAAGGTAAACAGAATAAGAAGCAAAAGGTGGGTGTGGCTGGATGACCACACTTCTGGTAACATGGGGGTGCGGCCTAATGTGCTAATGAGCTGTGCTGTCAGGGGTGTGGCCCAATATGCTAATGAGTTCCTACTGTTGGGTGTGGCCTATTATGCTAATGAGTTCCTGCTGGGCTTTTTCTACAAAAAGAGCCCCATCCCCAAATAATTAAGCAGCATGCCTACCGACACAAAGACACCTGATCAAACTGGGTGCCAAGTGAATGGCTGAGGGCAGAGAGTTCTACTGCCAAGGTGCCACCACAGAAAATGTCTTGTCTATGACAACTCCCGACTTGGCCTCTAACGGTGGGGACAGAAAGATTATTGTGGTGGCTCGCTGGGGCCCCATGCACGCACCCCACGCCCCGACTTGAGACAGAAGAGGCCGGGTGGCTTATTCTTTCCAGACCTAGGTTTCACTTTGTTTTAAGGTTCTTCCACAGCATACCATGAAGCCAAACACAATAAAGCCTTGGAGGAGGGGAAGAACCCTGCAGGCCAACTGGCAACCAATCAGGCTTGCCACCAGGTGCTGAGATACATGTAATCAGCCGCACCTGGGAGGATGACTGCCAAGTAGGGCCACAGGGAGGGCAGCCCAGAGTTTGCCTGGCTCTGTGATCTTCTGCAACAAAACTGCCACAGGAGGTGGTGGCGGCTACAAGCATGGACGGCTTCAAGAGGGAATTAGATAAGCATATGGAGCAGAGGTCCATCAGTGGCTATTAGCCACAAGGCATAGATAGGGGCTCTGGGGCAGGTGATGCACTGTATTGTTGGTGCTTGGGGGGGGGGGTCAACAGTGGGAGGGCTTCTAGTGTCCTGGCCCCACTGCAGGACCTCCTGATGGCACCTGGTATTTCTGGCCACTGTGTGACACAGAGTGTTGGACTGGATGGGCCTTTGGCCTGATCCAACATTGGTGTCTCTTATGTTCTTATGAAATGCTGTAGCCAGCCAGCTGCTAGTCCACATCAAGTGTATGGCAGGGGAAGTCAATATGCCCCCCCCCCCCGGGCATATACTCTTGTAGGGGCGCATGAAGACATCACAATGCAATACAAAACTTAAACATAAGCTAGTAAGTACATATATTTACCAGGTGATATAGGTCTGCTAGAACTTGGTGAAGGTGTGTAAGGGATTGGACTGGACACAGTGCGAGGTCTTAATCCTTGTGCAGACATCTCGTTAAAGTATCTGATTAAAAAGAGAAAAGGATTATTTCTTTGTTCACTCCAGACCCAGGCTCCTTCGTAGGCTATCATGGACCAAAATACAATCAGGCGGCATCACACAGTCAGCCGTGACGGTAAAGTTTAACTGATTAAGCCGCTAGATAAAAGATACTCAACAATGATTATTTTTTTTAACTGAAATGTGTATGATAAAATCATGTTAAGATTTCTTCAACTCGATGACAAGCCCTTTCATCTTTCCAAAGGAGTGAGAACTTTGACCTACTGAGATCCGAACGGTATTAAAGTTATAGAGCGTATCCGGTTGAGAGTTGAAGAACTAAGAACATACGGATTTTGTTTTGTTTTTGAATGCATATGAATAAAATTAAAAACAAAACCTGATGACACATCTGAGAGCCAGGGGACCTTAGCATGTTCTTGTTCCTCCGTGGAGTCCTCAATCTGTACTCTAATTGAATTCACAGATCAACTGGTTCACCACCAGGCTGCCAGGAGACACCCCTCCAATTACGTGTGCCGCTATGACCCAGAAGCACCAAGGGCATTAAAGAGTGGGGCCATGTATGGAAGCGGGATTTTTTTTGGTTCAGATGCACCTCATCTGATGCTTCCATAAACATGGTCCCATAAGGCAGCGAGATCACAATATATTATAACAAACAGACGGCCGGCATATAGAAGTCCCAGTTTCAAGTGTCGTCCCCCCCCCCAACGATCCAAAGCAGAGTACAATTTGTCTCACACGCTCAGTGTTGTATTGCTACACTTCTCTCTTCCCCCAGTCCACCTTGCAAGCTGACCATGCATGGAATTGCTCAGCATTAGTTGTGTCAGGACACGAAGTGGGCTGTACATCACACTGCAGAGGGGAAGAACTCTATACATTTTTGTGGCAGCGCCGCGTTTTTATGACTCACGGCTCTTTCCCTAGGATTTAGAAGCCTCTTTTTGGAATGTGTATTTAATTTCTTTTGATTCCTTATGAAGTCACTGCTGTACCACTTGCATATACCAGCAACACAAACCTCTCATCATCCATTTCCAGGCTTGATTCGCTTTCCGACAGCTGCCTGCACAAGGCTTCTCTTCGTTCCATCTCTCTCTGCAGTTTTCTTTGGAGCCTCAAATTCTCTTCTCTCATGTGACGTTCTTCCTCTAAATACTGTGCCATCTTCTCCGAATCTAAAATGTCAAGACTTATTTTGTTTAGCAGCTCTTATTAGCCAGCGCAGTTTCATGTTTCAGATGTGCTATAAACACCGGTACGTTTTTAGAATTCAGAACTTGGTCTCTACCAAGCGATGAGAATATAAGTAGCATCACAGATAACCCTACTTTCTGGGGTCAACAACCTTTTATAAATTCAACCAACCGAACAATGTCAAAAGAAGCAAGAGATCAACAAAGAGTGAGCATAAAGAAAGCCTCCTTGCATAACTGAAACTATACTCTAACATTACTGGTGATTGACATGTGGATTAATAATCCATAGAATTTCTGCAGGCCGAACACTGGTTGTTGCAAGTCCTTTATTTGCAAGAGGCACACACAAGACAGGAGCACAAACTGTTTTAGTGCCGTAAATCCGCGCACAGTTTGCACTTGGGTTACTGGCAAGTGTTCCTCTCTGTCATTTCCCTTTCTGAAAAGCATTTCTAAAAAGTTCTTTAAAAAAAAAAAGAATGCTGTGAGAAAGTTCTCTTTCCTTTTGATCTGCCATTCCCTTGACACAGAGAGGTTGTCTTAGCACCCCACCTTTCCTTCCCACGGACTTTAGTTCAAAAGTGTTCATTTTCATTTTCTTTTTTAAAGAGCCGTATCTGATTCCACACGGAACCACATTTTGGCTCCTCGGCCTCAGACACTCCAGACAGCTGCCCTACTTGGCCTAGCTGAGAGTAACCGACAGCAGATCAGAACACAGGAAGCGTGGCCAGTTCCTAGAACAGACACAACCAAAAGCTGACAGATGACGAGGCAGACCGAAAAGAAAATGGTAGGAAGGGAGGAAAGAGAGAAAACAAAACAGAAGCAATAACCAATATCCCGGGCTAAGTGTTATGGCCCAGTGATAAACTGATCACCAATGGGACAGAGATGAAAAATTTCTTCCCAGGACTTCATAACTGTTTTTAGCAAAGTGGCAAACCACTTTTCAACGAAGATGCCTCCTCAGCGGTGTGTGTGGCTTCAGAGCAAACTACAAAAGTAACCTCTGGCGGAATGTACAGTTATCTCTGAAAAAGATATGGCATTTTGCTGGAAGAGGGACCAAGGGCTGCAATGCAACCAAGCTTCTTTTTTCTCATCTACTGGCAGAACAGATGCAACACACAGCCACGCTAAACTCACCAGGTGCCTGGAGGAGACAAGAACTACGTTCACGACAACTTCAAGGTATCTTTTTCAGGGCACGCAGGGGAGAGAGAGAGAGGCAGGCAACTGAAGGAAATCACAGCCCCTCAATGACGACTGCCAACATCTGAACCCATCAAGCTGACTTATACCAAGTTAGACCATCGGCCCGTTAAGGTCAATATTTCAGTTCTGAAGAAGTGAGCAGTGACTCACGAGAGCTCCTCCCCTGCCACACATTTTGTTAGTCTTCAAGGCGCTACTGGACTCTTGCCCTTTTTCTACTGCTACAGACAGACTAACACGGCCGCCCATCCTGATCTAAGGTCAGTATTGGTTACTCCAGCCGGCTGTGGCTCTCCGGTGTCTCAGGCTGAGGTCGTTCCTATCATCTACTATCAGGAGGGGCCAGGGATCCCCTCGGAGACCCTCTGCGTGCAAAGCTGAGCCACGGCCCCTCCCCCAAGAAGGGACAGGGAGAAGGCGGTGGAGGGCGATATCCCCAAGGGGTTCAAGATACGGCTCTTCCAGAGGAACCACACTCTGCACCCTGTAAACTCATTAGGTCTGCACAGTCATTACTAAGCCGAAGAAAAAAATCTCATCGACTCCGAGAAGCCTGTAATGGGCCGTTCCGGCCAGGTGGTGGCAGTGTGGCGCTGCAAGACCTGGAGAAGCTGACGTCATCTAACCGAGCTGAAGTGAATATGCTGACGGAACACGTCTGACCCTGCAGCTGAACAAACCCTCGCCGACTGTGAATGTGTGTGATTTAAAAGATATATGTTGTCCTCCCTTACCCCCATAAATCATTGTTAGTCCCACGTGAATGAGTAACTGTAAATCGCTCAGAGCCAGCAAGCTCTGCAGGATTGAGCGATTAATAAATTGAAAGATTATTATTATTATTATTATTATTAATGTTACAGTGGCCTGCACCAAAACTGCATCTCCTGGTGGCGACAGACAGAAAAAGAAGGGGAGGTGGAGTGAGAGAGAAGTTTCACCGATTTCCCCTCCTCCTCCCATTGCAGACCTCCACTTCACCATCCCATCCTTGTTCCGGGGTGTGTGTGTGTGTGTCCACCAGCCCCCAGACAGGCACAGTAGGCTGCAGTGGGAGTTCGCTTCTGCATGCACCATTTTCTTTGCGCTAAGTGAGGTCCAAGCCAATGAAATAGTGTGTGCACTGGGGCAAGCATGGCAATGGCTCAAATCCCTTTGCTTAAACAAGTGGTGCGGGGAGGGGAAGAGGAAAAGGCTAGTCTGAGTTAATAATGTTGCTATAGTTATTACTGTCATGCCTGCCCCTGCTGATGTCATGCCTGCCCTTGCTGATGCCCCTGAGGAGGCACCTGCTAGCCAGGAGCCTGTGGACTTACAGGCTCCTGAGGACAGTACTGCAGCAGAAAGGCAAAGACTGGATCCTGTAGCTGAAAGCTATCTAAGTGGTGAGGAGGATAGAGCCTCCCAGGGAACACCTGCAAGGGATCAGTCTCTGCTGCAGCCCAGTGATTCATCATCAGAATCACCTCCACATGTAACCAGGCTCCGGAATGTAAGGAGACAACAGCTGAGAGAGCAAAGGCAGAATGCACGCATGCGTGCCAGAAGATCTCTTAGCCCTGCATATTGACAGGATCCTGACCTTGCTCCCGGCTAGCTAATGAGTTGATTAGCTAGCACTGTATATCTGCAAGTCTGTTGCCAGCAGTCATTTGTGCTGGCAAACGTCGTTTGTTCAGGACCTGAATCCTTGCTTCTCTGCTCCAGACCTTGTGGAATTCTTCTCGGCTTGATCCTCGGCTTTTGACCTTCGGCTTTGTTGACCCTGCGTTCATCTCTGACTCCTCTGGTATCATTGTGATTTATGGACTTGAAACTTTGGTATGTCTGACCCTGCTTTTGGACTGTGATTTAAACCTGCTTGAACCTTGCTACCTGATTTGCCCGGCTTGACCTCGGACTGTTCCTAGACTTTTGCTTGCTTGCGTCACGCCCCCTGGTCCTGCCGTGACAATTACGGGGCATAAAAAAATTAATCACAGCTAATAGTCTTAAAATGTGTTGCCTTTTTTTTTTTTTGCAACTTAACCTCTGCTATAACTGGGATTCGGAACAACGTTGCAGCTCTTAACTCCCCCCCCCCCAATGCCCAAGGTGGTCCCCTACATGTAACACCAGTTTCCAGGCAAGGACTAATTATTTCGAGGCTGGGATGCAAACTGACCAGGTCACTTTAAGCTCACTGGAGTTGGAAGCATTGCTGGAGCGTCCCCACTTAGGCAGGAGGGAAATCAGCTGAAACTCAATCGCAAGTAAGCTGGGCCCAGCTCCTGACCCCATACCCGTGGGAAGTGGTTTATGGTAAGGCAGGACTACCCTGCTGGCTCCGACTCAGAAGGATTACCCCTCGGAACTACTGGGGGATGGGCTATCCTATAAACGCCTCTAAAGTAGCTACCTTGTGAACACAACAGGCTGAGCAGTAGAATATTCATCTACACAAATTCTCAAGCTCAAGAACTGTCTGGCTGCTCTAACATCAACATTTCCCACAAAGTTGGCAAAAGGCCAAGAAAGCTCCTAAAAGATAAGTAAAGGTAAAGGTTCCCTTGCTTGAAAGCCAGTCGAATCCAACTCTAGGGTTGCGGTGCTCATCTCCGTTTCAAAGCTGAAGAGCCAGTGCTGTCCGAAGACGTTTCCGTGGTCATGTGGCCGGCACGACTAAACGCCAAGGCGCACGGAACGCTGTTACCTTCCCACCGAAGTGGTACCTATTTATCTACTTGCAATTTCTTGCTTTCGAACTGCTAGGTTGGCAGGAGCTGGAACTAGAGACGGGAGCTCACTCCATCATGCGGCACACTCGGGTCTCGAACTGCTGAACTACCGACCTTCCACAGCCTGCAGTTCAGCGTCTTAAACCACGAGCCACCGCAGCTCCGGCTTCCTAAAAGATACTGAATAACTTTAAAAATTCTCATAGCACGAAGAATCCATTTTAGAAGGACGGAATATTGGGATGGTGTGATGTAAGAATCAGCTCCGCTGAAAGGTTCGGTTTCTGAAGAGAGAGGGGCCCCCTCCCCATTTGGGCAACAATAACAGTTTTAACTGTGGTGACAGAAATGAGGAACTGGATCTTCGTTAATGCACAAAGAAGGTGAAAAGTATCTGTCATGCTTCTATCCTGCCCTTCCTGTAAGGAATTCAGGGCTGAGCACATGGGATTCACCCCAATTTATTTCCACAACAGCCCGGTGTGGCAGTGACTGACCTAGGATCATTTTGTGATGTTAATCATTGAGAAAGGAAGGCAGCCACTTCAACACAAGCTCAACACTACCCACTGCTCCACACTGTATTAAGCACCCAAATGAATTCTTCTCGTAAAAGTTTCATGGCAAAGGTAACTTCAACAGACCCAGACCGGTAGGAACCCGTCCCGTTACTGTTCAGGTCTGGGTCCATTTGACTTTGGTGGCAGCAGCAGCATGCTTGAAAATAAGTGCCCCGAATCTAGACCGGTAGGAACCCGTCTCATCACTATTCAGGTCTGGGTCCATTTGACTTTGGCAGCGGCAGCAGCAGCATGCTTGAAAATAAGTGAGGAGACCTTGCCCAAGTAGATTAACAGAAAAGTAAATCAATGAATGTGTCAACTTGAAGGTAACATTGAATGTGATATTCCTTTATAGGATTCATTCCTGAGGAAAGACCAGAGGTCTGAAACACTTAAATATCCGGAGTAAGTGTTGAAAGAGAGGTTGAATTTGGAGCAGTCTGCTTTTGAGAATATAAGACTGGTAGTAGGATATAGACTG